AGGAAGGCCAACTGACCAAGTATCAAATTGTACCATGATTCGATCCACCATAATTAAGTTTACAGTCCCATCTTTAGACTGCAGCACTTATATACTTATATTTTCTTTCTAACAAGGACATTCTTGCTTAAAAACAAACAAAAGTGTAACAATCCAAAAGAATGTGCAAGCAATTTCAAATCCTTGAGGCCAGAAGACCTCCACAAATATTTCATAGCTTCATGTTAGAGTGACATTTTAGCCCTTTTAAAGAAACCCATTAATACATTTGTTCATTGATTGTCACTTTGTTTTTCAAGTTGAACGGTGAAATTTTTAAATGAAAAAATCATGGCTTTGTCATTTGAGACCATTATAACCAATCATAACAGTAACAAAATGATTAGTTTAAGCTTAGTTCATATTTATTTATGGGCCAGGTACTGATCTCAGTGCTTACATATAATAGCTCACTTAAAAAGGTTATTGTTCTTACCACTTCAGAGACCAAGAAACTAAGGAACACACAAAAGTTAATTAATTAGTCTAAAACCACAGCCAGCAAGTGATAGAGCCAGGATTCTAAATTGGTTCCACTCCTACCCACTCTTCTGAACCAACACTTACATAGGTAAGTAATTGGCATGTGACCTATTAGTGAAGTGACCTTGCTCATCAATTGGTTCTCTCATTTTACTACCTTACTATAACTTGCTAAAAGTAAGAGTTGTTAAACTCAACCATTTTATTTTGATAACATACAGGTTTCTCATTGTAATGTGCCTTCAAATTGGTTCTGACTGACAGCAACCCTTTATACTACAGAAAATCATAGTCCTGCACCAACCTCCTTCCTATGTTGGAGCCCATTGTTGCAGCCACGTGTCAGTCCATCTCGTTTAGGATGGTGTCTTCTCCATGTTCTTCTCCAGGGACTGGTTCCTCCTGATACCATGTCCAAAGCATGAGACAAAGCCTCCTTGCCACCCTTGCTAATAAGTACCTCCCTGACTGTTTGTTTTCCTGGCAGTCCATGGTAGATTCAATATTCCTCACCAATATTTTAAAGATTTTCTTTATTCATTTTCTAACTTTCACATGCATATGAGGTGATTGACAATACCATAGCTTGTGTCAGGATTACTGTAGTTCTCCAAGTGATAGATACATTTGATTTTTAACTGGAGGACTTTTGCCCAATGCAAATCAGTTGCCCACTGCATCCATTTGATTTCTTGGCTGCTGCTTTCAGTGGATCCATGTAAAATGAGATAGTTGGCAGCTGCTGTCTTTTCTCCACTTATCATAATGTTGCACATTGGGATCACTTGACTTGTGAGTAGTTTTGTTTATGCTGAGGTCTAATCCATACTAAAGACTATGTAGTGTTCAATAAGTGCTTCAAGTCATTTCGCTTTCAGCAAGCCAGCTTGTGTCTTCTGCATCTTTCCGCCGATCCTGATCCACATTCTTCTTCAAATTGTTCAAATTGTTTGCACCACATACAGATAGAACCAGTATGGTAGAAACCCACAATAACTTGAAAACCACATAATATTTCATTTTGAAGCCATACAGATGAGCACTGTCAGAGTACATCATACAGAGAAAATGTTTTTTTCTGTTTCAGATTATTTAGTCTCATCAGCTTGTATGTTAAATGTAGTATCATTTATATGGGGCTGTTGTTAGGTGCCATCCAACTGGTTCTGACTCATAGGACCCTTTTGTACAATAGAACAAAACACGCCTTATGTGAAACACTGCCCTGTTCTTTGCCTTCGCATAATCATTGTTAGGTAAATAGAGTTACCTATCTCTTATAGGTAACTAGTCTTTATACTAGTCCTTGGATGGTGCAAACTTTTAACTCACGTGTTGCTAACCAAAAGATTGGTAGTGCAAGTCTGCTGGGAAAGCATCTCAGAATTAAAAGGCCCAGTAATCCACTGCCCCCAAATCACCCTACGCTGTTCCACCTTGACGTCCGTGGGACTGCCATGAAGGCATCAGGTGAAGAGCAATTAGTTTTATACAAGCAAACATTTAGAATGAAATTAAATTTCCGAAATGAATTCAGTTATTGATTGATCATTTTTGGAATTCTGTTGACACCTGCTGGAATTTTCTCTTTTTAGTGACATTTTAAATTTTCATTCCTTCTTATCCAAGTCCTTTAAGTTATTTTCAAAACATTTTCCCATAAAGACTTACAGTTTTAGAAACCCACTGGGTTTCTTACTCTGCTCTGTAGGACTGCTGTGAGTCAGAATTGACTTGATGGTAATGAAATTGGTTTCTGATGGCTGGTTCTTCATTCATGTGAATGACCTCAGGTTTTCTTTACACGCCATAGAAAATTGGATCTGTAGCATCTTCCCTGTCGGATATTTTCCAGGGACTTCCCATTTTGAGCAGCTAGTTCTGTAGTTGAAAACTGTGTAAGTGACTGGAGAATTTATAAAGTGTCCTGAACTACATAAAGCTTTGTGGCAGGATGCTAATAATAGGAGAAACCGTGTAAGAGGGAGGACTGTTGTGGAAGCCCCTGTGTTCTCTGCCAGTTGATTTGTCTTAAAAACAAAAACAAAATAATGTTAAGTCCATTTGAAGTTTGGAGATAACTCTGGTGATGTAGTGGATTACATGGTGAATTGCTAACCAGAAGATCAGGAGTTTGAAACCACCAGCCACTCCATGGGAAAAAGATGAGGCTTTCTACTACCATAAAGAGTTACACTCTCAGAAACCCACAGGTTTCGTTCTACTCTTCCCCGTAGAGTCACTATGAGTCGGAATTGACTGGGCAGTGGGAAAACAGTAGTTAAATTATCTGACCTAAATTTCTGCATCAAATGCCAGCCCCTGATGTCTGACTTTTTATTGCTAATGTGGATTGCACTTTATTTAGTGTGACTTGATTTGGGAAACAGTGTATTTCCATGTAGTCATTCTGAAATTTCCTTAGAGTAGGCACTACTAATACGCTGAACTCATCCAAGTGCAGTTGCCTGCCTGTTAATAGGATGTTAAAGCAACTAAAGCCCTGAAAAGATAAGGAGGCATCTTAAATAAGAAAGTTAGTGATAGGCTTCTACTACACCGGGGTTTGGCGGGGGTGGGCTGGGCTGGGCCGTGGGGTGGAGAAGGGAGGCAGATGAAATGTTTGTTTCTTCC